CATCCAAAGAACCTAGTTCAGCCGCAGTCACCTGTGGAGGTTTTCCTTCATCAGCTGGAGTGCCATCATCTTCTCCCAGGTTGATCACCATGTCACCTGGTTCATGTCACCTGGTTCGATATAGTCAGCCACATCATCTTCCCAAACTTCATCATCGTTTTCTCCAGCGTCCAAAACTTGCTGGATAGTACCAGCACAATGGGGAGGACACAGATTGCTCCCACTGGCTGATGTTGGGCTGCCTTGAGGGCAAATCCTTTGAACCTTTTGTTGAGGTTCGGCACTTGCTGTGTCATCCACCAAAGCTTCAGCACCTTGTCCTTCTTCTTGATCTCCATGTCGAGCAGCTTTGCTGGGTGGAAATTCTTCTGGTGCGGCTTCTCGTTTTCCAACTCCAAAGTCCGTCAATCCAAATCACTGACTGGGCTTGGTGGGTGAGTGCGCGCATATTCTCGAACATCTCGAGCATCCACATCATATTCCAGTTCATCCTTTGGCATCATGGAATGCTTCTCCACAGCTGGCCTTGGTGTAGTTGGAGCACCAAAGTTCAAGTGCTTCAAGTTGGCTTTGCGAGAGTAGACCTGCTCGTGACCACAAAGAGCCATGTTGCCCTCCAGGGATCGCTCAGCATTCGAATGGCTTTTCCACGAAGAATCCCATTGGGACTTGCCGCAACGTGAAGATCATCACCCTCAGTTGTGGTGAGCCAAATCCCAGGTACCCATTGAGGTCCAAGCTTGACATTGGGTCCCCTGCGATGCAGCCGTAGAACCATCTCACCAAATGATACCACCTTTCCAAAATACCTTCTTCCAAAGACTAACTCGAAGCACCTCATTCTTGTCGTGGTGTGGTAGTAGAACCTGTTCAAAGTCCATGCAGCGTGAATGAATGCCCATGACCAAAGGGCATGATCTCCAGGCAGCTGCAAACCACACTTATCAGAAGCCATGTGGACGAGGGTTGAACTCTGCTTCCTGAGTATTTGAATGACCCTCTCCACCTGAGCAGTTCTGCCCTTGTCTCCTGGCCTGGAGTGTGTGATCACCGTAGGGTATCCAAGATGCTGCCGCATCAGCTGCACACTTGCCAGAGACATTGTCCATGTAGTTCAGAGCCATTTTAAATCGCAACAGATGCTCAACTTGGCCTCTCAAGTAGTTTCCTTTTGATGGAAGGGGCAAAACCGTCACCATCTTGCTCCGGCAACCGATGGCCACCAAAACTGTAGAGACCTTGTCAAACTCCTCAGCCTTTGAAAAGCAGTAGTCCAGCTGGGCGCTGGGAATGGACCTTCGATCTTCATCATGAGGTTCAACTGGACGCTGGGGGTCTTGTTTCCCTGTGCAAGCCACGCAATAGGGGCACCAAGCTTGGAAAGGAAGGTGTGACAACTTGTGGAAGGATACTTCCTCATCACTTGGTGTTCTTGGGATAGATTGTCCCACCAGGCCTTTCCGCCACCACTGATCTCGGTGAATCTCGCTGGCCTCCAGAAAGACTTCTTTTTGCAGATGTTGGGCTCGTTGGTTTATCTTGTGCCATAGGGCGTCTTTGGATCAACTGGTGGAAATTCAAAGATACTCAGGTGCAGCTCTAACCAGCACCATACTGCTTTCACTGGTTATTGTTTCACCATTGACCACCAGTGCATCCTTGTCTTCAAACTCCCACGTGAAGGCAGGGGAGCTGGTTTGGCTTTCCTTATAGTGGAAAGAATGGAGGTGGATCGAAAGGTGCAAAGGCAAGTCCAAGAACAAAGGCAAGAAAGGAGGCAAGGGTAAAAGCAAAGCAGAAAGGAAAAGGTTATGGTGGTGGCAACAATGCCAATATCTGCAGGTTGCGCGGTCAATGTGGCCCCATTGGAAGCCAACCAGGTGAACAACTCTGCAAATGCTGGTGCGGATGCTCAAGCTTCAAGATGCTTCGAGTACTGTTGGGTCAACGTCCATGTCAGTGCTCATGAGGATGGTCTCTCAAAGCCTCACTATGTGGTTCAGGCTGGATGAGAACGATGAGGAGCATGACCACTCATGGTGGGCTGACCCGCTCATGGATTGGTACCATGACTTTCAGCCTGGCCTGGATCCGTGCCAGGATGTCGTCAATGTGGAGAAGTTCCATGTCAGGATGGCTCAGCTCAGGTGCAGACATCAGCCTCCCGCCCTACCACTTAAGTGGGCGTGGCACGGAAAAGCTTGGTGGTCACACAATCCTTGAAGATGCCCAAGGTGAAAGGTTGAAAACCTTTGGCAGGAGATCTGCCCGTGTGGAATGTGAAGGGCTGAACAACGACTTGATTGTCATTGAGGATGACTTCATCGATTGCCTCTGTCCAGAGCCCTTTGATATCCCTTGGCCGTTTGCTCCCTGGTGGTTGGAGCTTGGTGCCTGGTGACTCAGCTGGCGCAAGAGTCAATTTGGTCTCTCCTGATGGTGAAGCAGCTATCCCACTTCAGTTCAAGAGGAACTCCCTGGCAGTGTATGCTTGCATTCGAGCGGTCAGTGCCAGAGAAAATCCTGAAACTACTGATCCAACCTCATCAACCAGGAGATCAACTCCATCCAAGGCTGAGCCCAAGTTTGACATGGTGGTTGGAGAGCACGAGATGCTGGCCATTCAGACGGTCATCAAGCCCCATGATGAACTGCTTGGGCGCACCTTCAGGCGTGGTTGGAAGCTGACAAGCTCAGGCAATCCAGTCATCATCATGCCTGCCTCCAAGAGCTACCTTGATCCTGGAATTTCTTATTCCAGGAAAGATTGGCCTTTTCGATCAACAGCGAATTGGTCAACAGGAGCTTGTGGAGATCGGTGGAGCACAGCTTGATGCCAACGCCTACACCTTCCCGGAGCAGCCTGAGATTGCCATGGAAATTATGGAGGGCCATAACCCCGAGGAATTCAACCCCATCCTCAACCTGGTGGCAGTGGGGATGTTCCTGGCTGCTTCATGATCTGGGGGTCCTTGAGGAAGTTGTCACCAGACCATGCCTTCGTATTCTTGTCCAGGAGTATCAGCTTGTGTTTAGCTTGGAGTAGTCCATGGTGTCATCCATCACCATCTCCAAATGGGCCGCCGTGTTCCACTGTCCAAGCACTTGAGGACTGTGCTCACAGTGAGGTCATCAGGCATCCGATGTCCTGCAGCTAGCTCATATTGATCCAGCAGTGAATCAAACTGCAGCAAGTTCTCCAACATCGACCTCTGCTGTGAGAAGCTGGGATGCTGCATGATTGCCTGGCCAATTGCTAGGGCCCGTGGTCGTGGTCGAGGGGCATACAGCTACAGCTGCTTCAGCCTATGCCAAACAGCAAGCCATTCCTCTCCACAGCATTTGACCTGACCACCTGAAGAGCAGGACCTTGAAGGTAGGGAGATTGAGTAGAGCTTCACCCCCAAGCACTTGACGTCATCGTCCAGGGACCCACTTGTCATCGTCTCCAGCTGTTCCACATCTTTGATGAGGTCGGCATAGCGGCTGTCGCAGAAGGTGAGCCAGTTGAGGAATTGCTTACTTTCACTGGGTCATCAGTGTCAAACTCAGGTGGCCTCAACACTTTGGCTCCATCTCCAAATCGGGGACCGCCTTTGCCTCCACCACCAAAGCTCTGAAGCATAGTGTTGGCTGTCCGGGCTGCAGTTGTGGCAGCAGAGGGCAGCTCCATGATACGTCCTAAGAGGTCTGTTGCGTGTTGGGCATCCATTGCAGCAGTCTGGGCATACATCGTGAGGAAGATGGGGCCCTTCAGCTTGAGGTAGCCATTCCAGCGCTTCTCCAAAGTGCCATTCCAGCGCTTCGATTTCCTATGGGGACATACATGTAGGCCCAAGTGGCTCAACCTTTCGATCCTTGATCTCCTTTTTCTGCTCTCGATCATCACCTGGAACTTCTTCAGAAGGATGAAGAGGAAGACCATGAAGAGAGATCCTGTTGCCCTCGGCCATCTCGACCAGCATGTCACACACAGAGACCATGTTGTGCAGGTAAAAGTCCAAGCACATGCTAAAAGGTCGCCAGTAGTTCTCCTCAGAGACTGTACTTGTCCCATGTCATAGGGGTACCAATCCACCTTGACTCACAGCACATTGCTGTCCAAGAGCATCCTTTGGCATCACAGATGTCCTCCTTGAAGTCCGTGTAGACCACCAAAGCCTCAGCAAAGGCTTCGTCATCATCAGCGCCACCACACTGGTTGTAGGCCTCGTCCAAGACATATAGTGCTGATCATCCATAGTTCTCACCACCAGCGCGCCATTGGGCTTATCTGGTCTATATGCAATGGTAGGGCGCCTTCTCCATCTGCCCAGTGGCCAGCGCCACCATTTCGAATTGATGATGGTGAAGCCAGTCTCCATCACCAGGCTGTTGCACCGTGAGCGCCACCACCAACGCCAGGGTGATCCATGTTCTGGCCCTTACGGGCTCCGCTGCCATGCTGAAATGCGGAGCAGCGGCAGGGCGTTGTTTTGGCTTTGCTATCTGAGCCACTGGTAAAAGGTGCGGACGCACATGTTGTGCATCAGGCACTGCAGATGTTGACGCTTCTCTGTTTGTGCGTGTCATCCTTGCATGGGCGTTTCACTGGAAATGTTTAATTAACACAAAGGCATACGCGGTTGCCCTTGGACACAGACTGTCGCCCCATTTTTGGCAGCTTGGCAAACAGTTTGTAGACCAGGCAGACCACTCTTAAAGACCACATGCGATCACACTGACTGCTTTAGTGCGTTTGGCATGCCTCGTGTTACTGGATCATGCTCAGCCCACGGATTGCCCTTTTTCAAGGCATAACATGTGGCGAAGAGAAATGAGCAAGGGACAGCAAAGGCTTAATGATGACGTATTCTCATTTGCATCGCACAGTGCCGTGCCCTTACAGGAGACCACGTTTGCTTGCTCTGAAATCGGACTGTTTCTCAAGATCTCAGTCAATTTTTTGTTCATGTCATCATTGGCGCAAACTGTGACATGGTTTTTCAATGCCGAGGCACGGTGTTCCCCGAAACAAGCCCTGTTGAAAATCTGGAGCACTTTCGGTTCCAGCTCGGCAACATTGATGTCCTGCAGCTTGTGTTCCTGGAGCATTGGGCTATCGGATTTAGCAAATGTTGTTGCTTTGTCCCACACCTCAAACTGTCAGCACAAGCATGCGGCATGCCATTCTAATATTCAAAAACACGTGTGTGTAATCTCCGCATCTCCGGAGAGGCTGCTACGATTGTCCTACTGCCTTTCTCAAGGCGTTCTTTATTCACTGGTTTGTTGCCTGGAGAAATGTGATGTCCGGCTGCTCACTCTGGAGTAGCAAAGATAATTCTGCTCCTCCATCTCTTCTCATCATCGATCTGACAATGTGAACATATCCAAACAGCGTGCCATCCAAAAAGGAAAGGCAGCCCCATCCGCCCACACCCATTCCAAGTACCCTTGAGAAACACACGAAGGCAATCAAAAAAAAAGGTGGGCCAGAGAACCCAAAAGCAAGACGGCACACAGCATTTTTTTTTTAAATCTTGTGGTGTGGGCAGCTGTGCTCTGCACGAAATCGACGTAAGCTCTTTACTGAAACATCGTGCGCGCTGATGGTATCAGGGGCCGCAATTCACTACAGCATGCTGTGTCAGCTGGGGACCCCTTAGGGTATGTGGGGGGGGACCTTTCCATTTTCCTTTTTAAGGTGGGGTTGCCTACTCCTGTCCAATCCTGATCCTGGCTTTGGAGACCAAGAATGCCTAAACAAGCCTAAACAGTGCATCGCGCCATTTTATAGGGTGCACAGCCGCATGGTCAGGGCAGGTTTTACCTGGGACTGGAAAGCTTTCTCAGGCTTCAACCTGGCACTGCGGTGGGTAATAAGCACCTTTGGTGCCATCCATATATCAATATTCCCACTTCATGTTGCGTACCGTGTCTCAACACTTGGGCAAACGGGACGGCCGGAGGTATATTTTAAAAACATAAAAGCTGGTTCGAGATTGCGATGGATCAAGGTGGCAAAACCTAAAATGTGAACCAGCTTTTATGTTTTTAATATACCTCCGGCCGTCCCGTTTGCCCAAGTGTGAAGTTAGGGCGACGCTAGGGCAACGTTAGGGCATCTGTAGGGCTTTTCGTGCAGCTAAATGCAGCTAAATGCTAATAAGCTTTGCACCTATACACAGCTTACACAATCGGTTGCGCTTTTGAGACATGCCGTAGCCTGGCCGTAGCATCAACATTGTGGCCTGATTTTGGCTTTGTTTGTTTTGCTTACTTTTTGAAGCCAGTTGAATCCAATGATTGGTCTTTTGGGCCCTGACCTTGCCCGGAACCTGGTGTTAAAACTGCAGCGGATAGCACCGCCGGATGGGAAACCCTTGAAAAAAAAGATTTTCCAAAAAATGAACCCCACCGGCGTTTTCTTTTACTAAGTGGGTGGGTAGTGTGTCAGCTACGTCTACATTCTTTTAGTCGCTATGTCTGCTAATGTAATTAACTCTATCCCATCTTTCTAGCCGCTATATTTTCCTGGGTTCTCGTTTAGTTTGCTTCGCCGCAGAGGGAGCGAGGACGAAGCGTGGACGGACAGACCACCGTGCGAAATGAAAACTAAACGACGGAGGGAGTTGACCAGAAGAGCATGAAAACGAAGATATGAAGATGACAGATGGTGAATGGTCATGAAAAATGAGACATGATGAAAGATGGGTACAGATTTCCCTGTACAAAAGCTTCTATGCGTAAAAGCATCTGTGTGTACAAGTTTCTTTGTGTAAAAGCTTCTGTATGTAAAAGCGTCTGTGGGTAAAAACTTCTCTGTGTAAAGTTTTATTTGTGTAAAAGCTTCTGTGTGTAAAAGCTTCTGTGTAAAACGTCCTCTGTGTGTAAAAGTTTCTGTTTGTGAAAGTTTCTTTGCGTACCAGCTTCTGTGTGTAAAAGCTCCTCTGTGTTAAGGTTTTTTTGTGTAAAAGCTTCTGTGTGTACAAGCTTCTCTGTGTAAAAGACTTCTCTGTGTCAAAGCCTCTGAGTGTACAAGCTTCTCTGTGTAAAAGTTCCTCTGTGTAAAAGCTCCTCTGTGAAAGAGTCAAAGAGCTTCTCTGTGTAAAAGGCTTCTCTGTGTAAAAGCCTCTGTGTGTGCAAGCTTCTCTGTGTCAAGACTTCTTTGTGTAAAGATTTCTCTGTGTAAAAACTATAGTCATTGACGGGTAGTAAGAAGAGATTTTTCTGCTTACTGCACTCGCTCGCGGGCCAAATCCGGCAAATAAGAAATGCATATATATATCAGGCATCCAGAAAAGGACCCCCAGTAAGCAGAAACTCACAACTTTTTCGTTCATAATCGATTTGAATCTGCTTACTGCACCTGCCATTCTGATGACCGCCTCTTCCAGGCTCAAAACAAAAGAAAATCCAAAGTTTCAGCTTAAGTTATTTTGTTTGTGTCCTTTCTGCCTGCTTTACTTGCAAGCCTGCTACTATGCCATGTGGGCCAGCAGTTCAAAATCCAGCCAGCCACATGAAAATGACCAAGCTGCAGTAAAGTTATTTTAATGTTGGATCTGGGCTAATCACCTCCCCCTCCACCACTACAGCAAACAATCATGTTAACTTCACCGGTTATGTGGTTTTTCCCCCCGCGCAGATTGTAGTCCCCCAACCAGTTTGTAGAACTTGTGGAAGATAAATATTGTTTAATTCAATTTTATTGTTTAACTATATTGAATTTTGTTTTCAAGCAGGAGCAGTATTTCAGTATTTGATCAGACTGTGGGAGGACGCAGGGTGTGGGGGGGGAACACTTTGTGACCTTCTAAAACCAGGTTTTCTTTTTCAAAAATAGTAATTAATAGATTAATCAGTTTGAGGGACTCGCCTTTTTTCACTAGTCGAATGTTTTTCCGTGTTTTTACCCAGTGTTTTTCATTTCGTACACGTATCTTGCCCAAAAATTGCACGGAATGAATGCCCTTTGCACCAAAATTCCTCCAATTTTGTCATTTCTGCCTACTCTACTTGCTAACCTGCTACTACGCCATGTGGGTCAGTAGTTCAAAATCCAGCCAGCCACATGAAAATGACCGAGCTGCAGTAAGCAGATTTCATAGAATCTGCTTACTGGGGGTGCATCTCGCAATGTCATGATTCTAATGTTGGCTCCGGGCTAATCACCTCCACCCCCATCAGTAAAGGAACAAAAGAAATGATTGCACTGGGTATGTGGTTTTCCCCCCGGCGCAGATTGTAGTCCCCCAACCAGTTTGTAGATCTTGTGGAAGATAAATATTGTTTAATTATATTTGTTGCTTAACTATATTGAATTTTGTTTTCTAGCAGGAGCAGTCTTTCAGTATTTGAGTATTTGATCAGATTGTGGGAGGACGCAGGGTGTGGGGGGAACCCTTTGTGACCTTCTCAAACCAAGTTTTCTTTCTCAAAAATAGTAATTAAGAGATTGATCAGTTTGAGGGAGTCGCCTTTTTTACTAGTCAAATGTTTTTCCGTGTTTTTACCCAGTGTTTTTCATTTCGTACACGTATCTTGCCCAAAAATTGCACGGAATGAATACTCTTTGCACCATAATTCCTCCAATTTTGTCATTTCTGCCTACTCTACTTGCTAACCTGCTACTACGCCATGTGGGTCAGTAGTTCAAAATCCAGCCAGCCACGTGAAAATGACCGAGCTGCAGTAAGCAGATTTCATAGAATCTGCTTACTGGGGGTGTATCTCGCAATGTCATGATTCTAATGTTGGCTCTGGGCTAATCACCTCCACCCCCATCAGTAAAGGAACAAAAGAAATAATTGCACTGGGTATGTGGTTTTGCCCCCCGCGCAGATTGTAGTCCCCCAGCCAGTTTGTAGAACTTGTGGAAGATAAATATTGTTTAATTAAATTTTATTGTTTAACTATATTGAATTTTGTTTTCAAGCAGGAGCAGTATTTCAGTATTTGATCAGACTGTGGGAGGACGCAGGGTGTGGGGGGGAACACTTCGTGACCTTCTAAAACCAGGTTTTCTTTTTCACAAATAGTAATTAAGAGATTGATCAGTTTGAGGGACTCGCCTTTTTTACTAGTCGAATGTTTTTCCGTGTTTTTACCCAGTGTTTTTCATTTCGTACACGTATCTTGCCCAAAAATTGCATGGAATGAATACCCTTTGCACCAAAATTCCTCCAATTTTGTCATTTCTGCCTACTCTACTTGCTAACCTGCTACTACGCCATGTGGGTCAGTAGTTCAAAATCCAGCCAGCCACATGAAAATGACCGAGCTGCAGTAAGCAGATTTCATAGAATCTGCTTACTGGGGGTGCATCTCGCAATGTCATGATTCTAATGTTGGCTCTGGGCTAATCACCTCCACCCCCATCAGTAAAGGAACAAAAGAAATGATTGCACTGGGTATGTGGTTTTTCCCCCCGCGCAGATTGTAGTTCCCCAGCCAGTTTGTAGAACTTGTGGAAGATAAATACTGTTTAACTATATTTATTGTTTAACTATATTGAATTTTGTTTTCTAGCAGGAGCAGTATTTCAGTATTTGATCAGACTGTGGGAGGACGCAGGGGGGGACCCCTTTGTGACCTTCTCAAACCAGGTTTTCTTTCTCAAAAATAGTAATTAAGAGATTGATCAGTTTGAGGGACTCGCCTTTTTTACTGGTCGAATGTCTTTCTGTGTTTTTACCCAGTGTTTTTCATTTCGTACACGTATCTTGCCCAAAAATTGCACGGAATGAATACCCCTTGCACCAAATTCCTCCAATTTTGTCATTTCTGCCTACTCTACTCTACTTGCTAACCTGCTACTACGCCATGTGGGTCAGTAGTTCAAAATCCAGCCAGCCACATGAAAATGACCGAGCTGCAGTAAGCAGATTTCATAGAATCTGCTTACTGGGGGTGCATCTCGCAATGTCATGATTCTAATGTTGGCTCTGGGCTAATCACCTCCACCCCCATCAGTAAAGGAACAAAAGAAATAATTGCACTGGGTATCTGGTTTTTCCCCCCGCGCAGATTGTAGTTCCCCAACCAGTTTGTAGAACTTGTGGAAGATAAATATTGTTTAATTACATTTATTGTTTAATTAT